GGGGGCCGGCCCGACATGTCCACTGACCTGCGTGTGACCGTAGGTGGGGGGCCGGTCCGACATGTCGACTGACCTGCGTGTGACCGTAGGTGGGCGACCGGCCCGACATGTCCACTGACCTGCGTGTGACCCTAGGTGGGCGGCCGGCCCGACATGTCGACTTACCTGCGTGTGACCGTAGGTGGGGGCCGGTCCGACATGTCGACTGACCTGCGTGTGACCGTAGGTGGGCGGCTGGTCAGACATGTCGACTGACCTGCATGTGGCCGTAGGTGGGCGGCTGGTCAGACATGTCGACTGACCTGCGTGTGACCGTAGGTGGGCGGCTGGTCCGACATGTCGACTGACCTGCGTGTGGCCGTAGGTGGGCGGCCGGCCCGACATGTTGACTGGCCTGCGTGTGACCGTAGGTGGGCGGCTGGTCAGACATGTCCACTGACCTGCGTGTGACCGTAGGTGGGCGGCTGGTCCGACATGTCGACTGACCTGCGTGTGACCGTAGGTGGGCGGCCGGTCCGACATGTCGACTGACCTGCGTGTGGCCGTAGGTGGGCGGCCGGCCCGACATGTCGACTGGCCTGCGTGTGACCGTAGGTGGGCGGCTGGTCAGACATGTCCACTGACCTGCGTGTGACCGTAGGTGGGCGGCCGGCCCGACATGGCCTGCACGTTGAGTAGTACAGACGTGTGGGTCTCGTGGTCCAGCCGGGTGGCGGTCCGAATCACACCCGACTGCGGGTCGATGGCGAACGAGCCTTCCGGATCGCCCGTGTAGATGCTGTAGCTGACCTCTCCGCCTGTGACGTCACCAACAAGGCCAGTTGACACAAATTCTTCCAGACGCCCAATGGCAGCCCTACCGACCAAAGGCCTGCGCAGACAGCGCGTCAGCAGAGACACAATTAACGAGGCTAGGGATAGCTCTCGGTTTGATGGGCCACGCAGCCCCCAGTTGCGCCAAGCTTAGAGACACTCTCTAGGCAGTTGTTAAAAATATTGGCTTAACTTGGACTTGATTTGGCGATCAAATGACAGTTACGGTGGATTACGGTGAGTCGTTATCTGTTTAAAAGAAGCCGATGCGACACCTTACCCTGCTGAGCTTATGGTCACGATGCTTATTGCACGGTCACGAACAATAGATAACAAAGTGGTTTGGGCAGCAGGAATCGGTCCACACGAAGCTCACGCGTGCAATGAATTAGCAGCTTCTCAATTTGTTTTTGCATTCTAACAGTGAGATTACAGCAAGCTGCTATCAAGAGTATGCCAGGCTTTTGTTATTCGAATCGGAGATTTGTGTGTATGCCAAGAAGCTTAAACATATCGTAACGGGTTAGATGCTTCATCTGCTCATCTGTTTCATCCGACCGTGAATGACAGGTTTATACTGTAAGGCTGCTGATATATAATATGATTCATATGATAGGTAAGGTCATTCTGGACCACACACCAGGGACTCTGAACAAGGCTGGAACCTCAGGGCCCGAACCTCACGCCGATGACGCCCTACTGTGGCGCTGAAAGGGCTCACAAAATTTGATTACGGAAGTTTATAAGAATTTACAACTGCTTCATTCGTAAAATTCCTGCCATAGGAGGAGAAATATCAGTCTAGAAACAAAGATGCCGCCCTCCCCAATCCCTTTCGCCGAGTAGCACCGCCTATCAGCAGCAGTCATGCGTCGCACCAGCGCAGACAGCCTGCAGACTTGTAGCCAAGGTCTGGGGCCCAGACGTTTGGCCCCAGAACCCGAACCCTGACTTCTGGCCTCTCATCTGAAACCACTGATCTCTGACGATTGGCCCATCACCTGTAACCCTTGACCCCTGGCTTCCGGCTCCTGGCTCCTCGTCTCCGTCCGCCGACCGGCCGACCAAGAACCCTTGACCCCTGGCTCCTGGCTCCTCACCCAAGACCCTTGACCTGGACCACTGACCACTGACCCGTTACCCTCGGCTCCTGAGTTCTGGCTCCCTGTCCTCAGCCGCTAACAGCCGGCCGCTGACCGCTGACCGCCAGCGTCCTTCGCCTCTGACCTGTCTGGCCGGCGGCGGCCCGCACGGCGCCGACCTCCGAGCGGACGGCGGCGTCCTCGCTCACGGCGAACAGGTAGCGGGCGCGCTCGAACTCTGGCGGCCGATGGCGGCTGTCGGTGACGCTGAGCGCCAGCCGGGCCGCCTCCAGCGAGCGCAGGCCGCCGCCGTCCGTCGCCTCCACCTCCAGCTGGTGCTCCGTCGGAGAGGCGCTCAGCGGCCCCGTTACGAACACCTGTCGGGAGGTGGGCAGGCCGACCTCAGTCACGCTGGCGTGTCCCGCTTTCCCGACGAGAGGTGAGGTCTCACCCGGCTGGTGCTGTCCCCGAAACAAGAGTGAGCTACCTGGTCAGAGTTCATGTTGCCCACAACACAAATGACTCATGTAGCAACGTCTGCACAAAAGCCGGCACTAGCGTCAGCGTCGGGAACTCATGCCTGCTTTTAGCTGCATGAGCAGGTAAAAGCGACCGGCATTGACATGGCAGCA